CCCAATACTTCTGTTAGTCTTAAAGGTGCCACAGGACCCTCTGTTGCTTTTTACAGATTCAGACTAACACGGCTACCCCTCTGATACATGAAGATAGATGAGTGTACTTCTTGGCAGGACCAGGCGGCTAGGAGACAGTCATCAAGGTATGGAAAACCAAGGAGACCATAAAGCCTGATGTGAACTTAATTTATTTTATTTATTTTAACTGCTACTACAGAAAATACTTTGGTGAAGACTCAGAGCAGTAGCTATCCCAAAAGGTAGTACTCTGTATTGGAAATGGTTGGAGCCCACCATAAATCTGAGAAAATGTCTATGGGCAGGGTGGGTTGTCGATGTGGAAGTAAGCATCCTTCATAATCGAGAGCCGGGAACCACATGCCTTTTTCTAAGGATGGAATTATTGCTGCCACTGTGACTATGCAAAACGTCAGTTTGCGGATGAAGCAATTGAAGTGGCAGAGACTGAGGTTTGGTCTCCAGCCACCCCTCTTCTTGGGTATGAGGAAGTAAGTAGAGTAGAACCTGTTCCTTGATATGCTAGAGAAACGTGTTTTATTGCTTCTCATTGTAATAAGGAGTTCACCTTTTGGGTAAGAATACTGTTGTTAGAGTGGTCCCCAAAGGGGGGTCTTAGGTCTTCTTCTCGGGCCAGTGGGACTTAGAATGCGCTTTGGCCCCTGGGGCTGAGCTGGTGGAGGGAATGTCCAGTTTCCTGAACTTGGAGGAAGACTTAGTCCCAGGCTTATTGGAGTACTTCCTAATCTCCCAACAAGGCCTCATCATGGGGTCGGGGTGGTGGGGGTGGGGGTTCCCGCTGGCATCAGAGTCGGACGTAGCACCAGGAGGCACACTCCTCGCAGAATCAGGCTGATGTACGGTGGGGAAGGAGGGATGTTCCCCGGCCTGGGTCTGACTGCAGTCTCATGGTCATCTCCATGAGATACTTGTGGAGATGAGGTGCACAGCCCTCTCGGGTACAGTTGGGGAAGGACTGCACATAGCCATGACGTGAGCTTCTCCCAAGCAGTAGAGGCAGCGTTGAATTGGTTGTTGCTGACTGAGAGGGACAGCGGGCAAGAGACGCAGTTTGAAGCCCAAAGTCCTCGTCATAGTCTGGTATCCGAACAGGGGTACGAATGGGGGCAGGAAACCCCTGAAGTCTTCACTAAACTGTTAAAACTATTAACTATTAAAACTAGAAATGAAATAAAACTAGGTAAACTGCCTTAAAAACTGATAAAGCTATTTACAACTGCAATTAGAACAGCATGAGAGAGGACACTTAAGGTTCTGACCCAGACCATGTGGTGGTGAGAAGGAACTGGAGATGCAGTCGGTCCACCCCACCCTTTATATCACCTTGGACGGAAGCACGAGGCAAGTCAGGGCACATGCACGGAAACAACTGACACTACTTTCAAATTCTCTGACTCTTGAGCGCATGATGTGCAAGCATAACCACAGTGGAATACAATAGGGACCATCACTTGAAGAACTTTTAGTGCAGTAGCAAGGTCCACACAGCCAGTTAGTGCACAGCAAGCAGAGTGCACTATAGATTTACACCTCCGCTTGCTATGCACTAATTCTTCATATAGACAAGCCCTCAGTGGATTGTAGACACTATGCACCATGGAAGTCCTCAAACGGGGACCCTCACAGAGTTCTGTTCTGTCACCTCTTGTTCATCTGTATTAAAGGCACTAGGGGACATTTTTAGGCATTCTGAACTCCAGGGGTATCAGTATGCTAATGACACTTAGCTCCACATCAAGTACAGAAGATGTACTCCCCTTCCCACCTCTGCCACTGTCTCACTGTGTGACCTTCCGCGAGTTATTTATTCTGCGTCTCAGTTTCCCATCTGCAAAATGAAACTACTTACCTTCACAGTGATTTTGAGAAACTTCTTCTGTAAAGCTCTGAGAGCTTCCGATTAACTGTACTTTAGCAGTGCAAATGATTGTAAAAGACTCCACTCAGTGTTTGTGTTGAGGTAGTGACAATTTATGAGAGACGGTTCACATTCATTTGTCATTACCAAACAAAAGTCCCTGCCCAAAGGAAATTACAATCTAGGATTTAGATAATGCACAAAGAGGAATGAACAGGCAAATAGGGGAATGGGGAAGACATGGTAATGATAGAGGCAGAAATGTTGCATTAGTAGTCACAGGTGGTCACCAACCTAACCAAGGCCAGGCAGTAGTGATTTGTAGGCATCGCAGCAAAGGGAGGTTTTAAAGAGTGATTTAAGAGGTTGCGATAGTGCCTTTGTGAATTTTGACCAGGAGTTCTTCTCAAGAACAGGGATCTGCGTGGGAGAGGTCAGGAAGGTGTCTGTGAGAGAAACTCACAGGAGGGAGATGGAGATTGGCATCATTAGTGGAGCAAAAGCAGGGGATGGCCTCTGATAAGTAATTAGATTTGAAAGATAGTGGGGTAAATGGTGCAGGACCAAGAAGTTTGTGCTTGGTGCAGAGGACCCAATGGACACAAAGAAGGGAGTCAGAGGGTCAGAACGAGCCTTACTTTCACTTGACATGGGAAGGTTTGGGCCAAGGCTTGAAGATTCAGATTTCTGATCACTGACTTCTGTGGTGCTCACTTGACTGAAAGGATAAAAGCACACATTAGCTACCAACATCACTAATCTGTGCACTAACAGCACGGGAAATTTTAAGCAATTGATTTTGACCTTCCTAGCTAACAATGGCCACAGGCTGCTAGGGAAACACTCTGCATTCTGCACTATTTCACATATACCAACACACTAGAATCTGAAAGATATCCTTGCATCTCTTTGTACAAACCTCAAATCCTCACCTCCTTCAGAGTATTAACTCACTAATTTTCTCAAAATAAAACTTTTAATAGAACACGGAAATCTAATATTAGCTTTGTTGTAATGTGTAAATGTGAAAAATCCCAAAGGGACAAAAATAATCCATGTCACAGCTGAGTCGTGGGTGGCCAAACTTAGTAGTCAGAGCCAGAGTCCATGGTCACAAGACAGGGTTTAGGAGTCAGCTGGGTCAGGATACCAGGAGCTGAGAAGCAGGAGACAAACTGGGGATCAGAACCACAAATCAGGAACCAGAGTCAGGCTGGATCAGGACGCCGAGAGGGCAGAAAACCACAAATCAGATGCCAGGAAATCAAGCAGCAGGAGCAGGAAGCACAAGGCACGCAGTCCAGAATGGGGTGGAGCCCAGTTGTTTGGACAGCTTCCTGTTCCTGCTGCTGGCTTAAGTAGGACCAGCCAGCCAGTCAGCTGCTCCGGGACTCTGCCAATAGGACTGCAGGGGCAAAGCCTCAAACTGGAGCTAGGCTTCTTTGGTCCCAGGCAGGCGAGCACCAGCAGACTGCCAGATGGAGGGCTGGAGCTCGGCTGCTCCTGGAAATCGTGCAGACCCAGGTTTGAGACTCATGGGTCATGACAATCCAATTAAAGACAGAAAGACAATCAGAAAAGACAATGCTGTCCCACTCATTTTCTCATACAATTTGATATGCATAGTGTGACAGTGTACCCCATAAATGTATGTATGATATAACTGGAATAGGGTTTTGCTACATATGCCATGTAACATATCTATGTAAAGGTTATGATCTACTGGTTATGTTCATCCTAGTTGTATGCAGGCACCATTTGTGTGTTCAAAGTTATGAATATTGGCTTTATAATTGCTTGATTTCTAAGTAGCCTTAGTTAGAACATTTGGTCACTTCTTGGGAAAGGAATGTGCAAATTAAGTGCTCAATCAGGAAGCACTTAACAGACAAAAGAGCTTGGAAGACTCCAATCCACATAAGAAGTCTACCTGAGGACGTTCAAGGTAGCATGTGGGTAATGGCTGCTACCTGCAAGTCCTGAGTCATGCATGGGCATGTGACTGGCCCATGTGATTCCAAATCTCCATTTTGTGACTGGATTCTACACAGGGTGAGGAGGGGGTCTCCACCCACAAGAGAAAGTCTATTTAAACCCCTGGGAGACCCCTCCATTTTGTTTTCAGCTGGCTAAAAAAAGGAGCCTCTCCACCCCCCAGGATACTTGAAGAAAACTGGAACAAAGGACAGTAACTACAGAGGGTGTGAGTGATTGCTGGACCCAGGCTAAAAAGAGATTAGTCTATAAAAGGGAGCATTCTGGAACTGGTGAGGATCTTATCTGTATTTAGTTTGATTAGACATAGATTTGCGCATTTTATTTTATTTTGCTTGGTGACTTTGTTCTGTCTGTTACTACTTGGAACCACTTAAATCCTACTTTCTGTATTTAATAAAATCACTTTTTACTTATTAACTCAGAGTATGTATTAATATCTGGGGGAGCAAACAACTGTGCATACCTCTCTATCAGTGTTATAGAGGGCGAACAATTTATGAATTTACCCTGCATACGCTTTATACAGGGTAAAACGGATTTATTTGGGTTTAGACCCCATTGGGAGTTGGGCATCTGAGTGCTAAAGACAAGCACACTTCTGTGAGCTGTTTTCAGGTAAACCTGCAGCTTTGGGGCAAGTAATTCAGACCCTGGGTCTGTGTTGGAGAAGACGGGAGTGTCTGGCTCAGCAAGACAGGGTGCTGGAGTCCTGAGCTGGCAGGGAAAACAGGGATAGAAGTAGTCTTGGCACATCAGGTGGCAGCTCCCAAGGGGGTTTCTGTGATCCAACCCGTCACACATAGCATGCTTCTCTCTAAATGTAGTAATAGTGATTAATATTATCAAAGTAAAGATGTACTTAAAAGCAGCTACTAAGCAAAAACTATGTACCATTGAATTAATTCCAAAATAAAAGATCCTATCAGTCAGAGAATTCCTTACGCAGTGAATGGTTGTCTCACCTGACTGCTCCATGGAATGTATTAAATAAAGCACTACAACGCAATATTAAAAGCAAGATGTATGTTGATGCTATTTAAATTCTATGCAGTCATTCACAGAAAATGCTTTTGGCAAGATTTAGCATTCTTAAAAAAGCTCATTGTGTCTCAAAGAATATTTTTGTTTAAAACAGAAATTTCTCAAAATTGTGTTACTTGACAAAAGGAAGATAAATGATAAAAGCCCATGTCTTGTGAAAAATGCACACATCAACATAAAACTGCTTTCTCAACTGAAGCATACAATGAAAACAAGAAACTGACAATTGGTGAACACTAGTATAAAAATCAGTACTACACACCTTAAGTTTTGTTCTCCAGATTCCTGCATCTTGGCCTTTTTCACCTGCAAAGATGAAAATGTTCAAAGACACCATGAGAGAGATCTGTCCTTGACAATCTCTGTACACAAGTCACAGGCTGCAGTTACAAGCTAATCATTGTTTGCAACACCGTTACTATTAGTAGCTGTTTAAATTCAAGTAGCCTTGTGTTTGAGTCCTGGAGTTAAATAGTGAAACCTGTAAGTTCCCTGATTTAAACAGCTATTGCTACCCCAGAATTTGTTTGCAAGGTTGCTTTTTCCCTGTCTCCCTCCCCCACTCCCCTACACATTTTTTTGCACTGGGATACTCAACTCCCAAGGTTTGATAGGGACTGTTCTTTGTAACCCAAGGAACTCCGTTAATTCTAAAACAATTCTATTCTGAACAGATCTAGCACTCAAACTGCACCCAATGCTCAGCTGCCATGAACTAGATTCCCTTACCCTCTCCCTAGCAAGGTAATACTTGAAGCAAGAAGTTTAAATCATTTCTTTGTTCACAACAGTAGCAAATCAGAAGTCCCAAATTGCATTTTAGAGTAAGAGAAATTAAACTAGTATTTAATACTGCATTTGTGGATGGCTCACTAGTCTAATGGTAGCATGATGTGCTATTGTAGGGGGATCAATTTAAACACAGATTTGGTCGGTCACTTCTGGTCCAAAATGGACTGGGATCCTATGAAGACTTTTAAAAAAACAACAAGGAGTCCGGTGACACCTTAAAGACTAACAGATTTATTTGGGCATAAGCTTTCATGGGTAAAAAACCCACTTCTTCAGATGCATGGAGTGAAAATTACAGATGCAGGCATTGTTATACTGACACATGGTTTGGGCAATGTCCCCATATCTACTCTAGCGACACCATCAGAGGACCTAACCACATCAGCCACACCATCAGGGACTCATTCACCTGCACATTTACTAATGTGATATATGCCATCATATGCCAGCAATGCCCCACTGCCATGTACGCTGGCCAAACCGGACAGTCTCTACATAAAAGAATAAATGGACACAAATCGGACATCAGGAATTGTAACATACAAAAGCCAATAGGAGAACACTTCTATCTTCCTGGACATTCTATAACAGATTTAAAAGTAGCCATACATGATAAAAAAAAAAACTTCAGAAACAGACTTCAAAGAGAAACTGCAGAACTAAAATTCATTTGCAAATTTAACACCATTAATTTGGGCTTGAATAGGGACTGGGAGTGGCTGGCTCATTACAGAAGCAATGTTTCCTCTCCTGGAATTGACACCTCCTCATCAATTATTGGGAGTGAACTACATCCACCCTGATTGTATTGGCCCTGCCAACACTGGTTCTCCACTTGTGAGGTAACTCCCTTCTCTTCATATGTCAGTATAACAATGCCTGCATCTGTAATTTTCACTCCATGCATCTGAAGAAGTGGGTTTTTACCCACGAAAGCTTATGCCCAAATAAATCCGTTAGTCTTTAAGATGCCACCGGACTCCTTGTTGTTTTTGTGGATACAGACTAACACGGCTACCCCCTGATACTATGAAGGCTTTGTGTCTTGTTTCCAATTTTTAATTTTTATAACTTCAGCTTCCAGTCCCCAGATCTTGCAGTACTTCTCAAACAAGGCATTTAAATTCTCTTAATCCTACCCACCCCCGAGAGATGCTAGCATTCCATCTTCCCTTCTGTGCAAAGTAGAATGTATCATAATGGACATAAACCAAAATTACCCCTGCAATTCATTTTATTCTTATATGTCTCTAATACAAAGCATGGTGATCTGTCATCACACTAATTTTGGCTCCTTCCATGCAAATAAGCTAACCGCATGATCAGGACACAGAGAGCAGGAGTGTCCAACCTTTTCGAACTGAGAGTCAAAATATTTCAGAAAGGTCAAAGTGCCCCAGTCAATTTGGGGCACTCTCTCTGCTGCCTTCTGCTCCCTTTATGTTATTCAGGTGTACCATGCTAGAGAGCAATAACTAACTGATGGGTAGCTGGGGTAAGGGGTAGCTGAGATCTCACCAAGAGTGGTCGTGTGGGGCAGGAGAATTGCCCTCTACTAGCTCATATATGGCCCATAGGCTAGGAGTTCTTGCAACAAATTTTTTGGTGGCCTCGGAGTGTGGCCACCAACTCTTGCTGGTGGCCGCACTTACACTTTTTCCTAAAATTATTTATTTTTCCTAAAATTAATAAAATAGTATGCACATATATACATCCAAATCATTGTAATTTATGTAAGGTTTAGGGGTTTGATTTTTTTCCGCAGACTCAATAATAAAAATCTTGCACAGTTATCTCTATTCTTTACTGGACCTTACAGAACAGAAACACAAATAAGGTGCTTTGCACATTCTTGTCTTTTTTATTATTGTTTCTTTTGCTTTTTGGGTAAAAGTGGTTGTCTGTATAACGATTCTGAAGTAAATTTAAAATGCTTTTACATAATAGAAATCCAAATAATGAAAAACATATCTGGGTGGCTTGGGTCTGGGGAGGAAAAGAGAGGCACAGCTGTGGCTGCTCCTCCGGGCAGCTGGGGGGGCTTGGGGCTTCGGCCAGCCCGGAGCTCCTCCGGGCAGGTGGGGGGGGGGGGGGGGGGGGGGGGGGCCGGGGGGTTGGCCCCCCCCCGGGGCCCCCCCAGCCGCGGGGGGTGGGGAGGTGCTCAGGGCTTGTGGCTCCAGGTGTAGGGGGAGGGAGCGCTGGCAGAAGGGGTGCAGTCAGAGGGCTCCACCAGCTGCCCATGCACCCACCGCTCACCTCCTCACCCCGGGCCCACCTCCTGTGTCCCTCCTCACTCCCCGGCCACAGACACCCTCCTGCCCGTCACGAGAACTCCCACTCGCTGATGGCTCACTGTTCACCTCCTCACTGCCCCGCTCGCAGCCAGATCCCACTCCTACCTCCTCACCCTGCTGCTGGCTTGCCGCTCGCCTCCTTACTCCTCCGTCAGCCCCTCCACACATGCTTCGCCGCTCACCTCCTTACTCCTCCGCCAGGGCCTCCCGCCTCACCGCTTGCCTCCTCCCCCCTCCCTGCCCCGATCCACCCGCTGCTCGCCTCCAGTCCTCACCCCCACCTCCTCACTGCCCCTGCTCACCTCGCCTCTCGCCTCCTTACCCCCCCCGCCACTTGCCTCCTCACCCCCCGTCCACCCGCCGCTCGACTCCAGTCCTCACCCCCACCTCCTCACCGCCCCTGCTC